GGGTGCACAATGGGGGCTGGCTGGGAAACACAGGAGGCTGCTGTAGGTTTTTGAGAACTTTTGTAAGTTCTTGGTGATGCTGACTTTATGTCTTCTGGAATTTTGTAATTCTCAATCCTTTTGCCTCCCCATCTTCATCTCCCCCTCTTCCTACTCCTAAACATATGTGTGCACACATGTTCATGCACACAGCCTAGGTTCCATGCTTAATTGTGGAGGGGAGCAGGTCCATGAAGAAAAAGGAAAGGCTAACTGCACCATCTGCTTGCAGGAGTCTCAGGCTTTGACCTGGTCTGTGGTGCTTGGACGCCTCTACACATGTGCAAGTCATAGCCTGAGATGGACCCAGAACTTGCCTCTAAAGACCAAGAACTCTCCAACTCATTCCCCTGTGGCATGGCTTTCACTGTTAGGAAGAATTTCTTAACGTATTTCCCAAAGCCAGTCCTACGCTAGGCCTTCAATGCAAATGGAGAAGTCAGGTCTCGGTTTTGTATGGCTGATCATCAGGTACTTGTAAGACAATTACACTGTCCCAGAGATGTGTGCCTTCCAGACTTAACATCTCCTTTGCTTCAACAGGTCTTTGTATGGTATAGTCTCCTGGTCTGCCTAACACCACCCTCTCCTCCAAGTCCCACCGGTCTGCTTCTAGACCTCACACAGAGTGACAGCTCTTGGAGAGAACAGCTGTGCAGGCTAGAGTAGGATTACTCCCTCTTTATGGAATCTTTTAATTATATTTGGCTATATTAACTTTTCTGGCACTAACATCAGTCATGTCATTGACTTATTGCGCTTATAGTTGACTAACATCTACAACAAACAGGGCTTCCCTACCTTGCACTTCACTCCATTGTTTTTGCGGACCTAAGAGCAGTGTCTAATATAAATTACCATTATCTTTTATCTAACTAGTTCTGGTCCCACGTTCCTGTTTGTCAAGATCTTTTAGAATCTGATTACATTATTCCCATCACTCAACAGCTTCAGATCATCTACAAACACAAATTTTCCTCCTGCATCTCTACTCAAGTCTATGATAAAATATGTGTGGCTCTCTGCTGGAAACTAGGTTGACTCTGATCCTTAAATAGTATCTCCAGTGGTTATTCAACAGTTATCACTGCATCATCTTATATTGGCAGCCACCTGATATTTCTCTATCTTGTCCACAGGAACATCAGGAAGGCTTTGAAAATGAAACACATTGTATAATTTGGGTCTACTGGATTATCACCATTCCCTGAGCTACTGTCAAAAAGTGACCTAAGCCCTAACCAGTTTGGCTCAGTGGATAGAGCATCAGTCTGTGGACCGAAGGGTCCCAAGGTTTGATTCTGGTCAAGGGCACGTACCTTGGTTGCAGGCTCCTCCCTGGCCCAGGCCCTGGTAGGGGCTCGTGCAGGAGGCAACCAATCAATGTGTTTCTTTTATATTGATATTTCCCTGTGTCTTTCCCTCTCTATTCCATTCTCTCTAAAAATCAATGGAAAAATGTCCTTGAGTGAGGACTTAAAAGAAAAAAAAGTGACCTAAAAGCCAGTATTACTTGCTTTGTTCTTATTGATTCCATGCTGGCTTCTTGTGGTCACTTTGCTCTTAATATTTGCCCCTGATTGGTTACAGACTCATTTCCCCAAATTTTCACAATTCCTTAAAAACCACAAACATGATGAAGCTACTCTCTCTCTGTCTATATTCTGGGGTGCATTTTATCTAGGTCAGGACACAGCAGTGTCTTCTGATCTTTTCACCAAGTTTTGCATTCTGCTATTTCCTGCCTAATTTTGTTGCACCCTTTTCAATATGGAGAACAGTTTTCTTGACAGTGAAGTCAAAATTAAATAGCAATTGAAGGACACGACTTTGAACCATTCCTCAACATTGCACTAAACAGTGGCCTTATCTTGATCTTCTTTTTGCCCAAATCCTGTTTTAAAAGGGCCTCTTCTTTAGGTGCAGCCTGCAGTATTGTTGTTATTATTACTACTACTACTTTTTGGTAATAAAAAATTTATCCTGGGAAATCAGATCTCCTGACATTCTTCTTAAAGTTGGAGCCATTTTTCTACATTTATTGTAGGTAACATTCTTATTTTTTAAATCTCTGCCTGTGATTTTTCAAAACGCGAGTCCACTGAGGTGAACTGTGTGCAAACGCTAGTTTATACTTTTGGGAGCTTTCCAACTGTCTTCTCCATCTGGCCAGGTGGTGTGAAGTAAATTACTTCACTGATGGCACTTCCCTTCTTTCTGTTTGTCCCCCCACACATTGTTCTTTAGGCCCAGCTCCCTTCCTAGCAAGACTGTGTTTTGGGAGTAGGATATACCCTGTAATCACCATATCTGCTCTGAATCAGATAAGGCGTCAACAACAATTTCATAAGTATTTTACAAAGATGTATAGGTGCTCACTCTGTGCCAGGCACTAAATCTTGAGGATTGCTACCAGCAAGGAGGTACTGCTCTGTGTCAGAGCTTTGGGTATACTTTGTTTCTGACACTGCTGTGTGCCTGGGTAGGTGGACACCTAAGGCCATCAATAGCCTTTCTGGTCCTCCTTCAGAGCACTCCTCACGTGGGTCGCAAGGTATTTCTGGTACCTTTAGCATTCCTTCCACTCTCTGTAGTAAGGTTTCAAGAATTTACCTGTTTTTCCTCCACATTCTGTTCAAAGTCTAATTTCAGTTTCCTTGACAGTGAAGTTAGAATTAACTAGCAATTGAAAGACATGACTAACTTTACAACCTAACTTTTACAGGGCTTTGCCACATAAAATGCTGTTTCTGGCCCACGGGGTTTGAACAATCACACAAAAAAAGTTTTAAAAGTAGGAACCTTGCACCCATTATATTAACCCCTTGAGGTGCGTGGTTCTCCAACATCCCTGTACCTGTGAATCCTCTGGGGATCTTGTTAAGGATGCAGGAGGGGATCCTGATAAAAAAGGCTGGGAACGTGCCTCTGTACCAGCTCCCAGCAGTGGGACGCACAGTCTTGGACATTGTGGATCAGCAGTGCCAACACCTGCTGTCATCTCTGCATGCTTCTGTTGGCCCTTGGCCTCAAACTAGCAGCTCACTGGATTGCTTTTGTCTTGATTGTCCATGTTTCTCTGACAGGTGGCTGATGGCTTCTGCCATGGGCTGAAAGTAGAGTCTTTTTTGCATCTGCCACACTGGGGAATCCTTCGTGTTCTGTACTCCAGCTGAAGAGGGTTGGCTTTCCTTCTTGGCACGGGCCACACCTTCATCACTCACAGATCGTTTGCCCTGTGTCACTTTCCCTTCCTCCTCTTGAATGGTTTTGATCTCTTCTACCTTCCTGGACCTCCACATTTCCTGGTTTCTGCCTTCACACTTCTATCACTTTCTGTGTAACTAGTCATTTCTCAGAGAAGCCTTTTTGCTACATTTTTGCTCCATTTCATTGGCCAGATATAATCATGTACCTATTACTGGCAAGTTTTCCCCAATTATTGCCAATGCTTTCCAGAAAGTTATGTTGTAAACCATAGGCAGAAGGAAAAAGAAAGCCCCTTACATAACTGCAGAAATCTGGCGTGTGCCGTTGATCCCATTTAGAGGTCCAATACAGTCCACACCTTTGGTTCAGGCCACTCACATCATAGTATTTGACCAGTAAACATTTATGGTGGTGGCTAGACTTTCACTAAACACAAAATTTATGTTGGCATTAAGGAATTCAGTACTGAAAAGACAATTGTAAAACATGCCCCTACAGACCAAAATTATGTAGAGCGCTTCAAACTTAAGTTAGATATAGGCATGACTAGTTCTATAAATTAAGCTTAGAAACCAAAAGGATCATGAATGAACTGGTTAAATAAAGCAATAACTTCCAGAGGGCTCTTTCTGGAGGTGGGTCCATAGAGGTATGGACAGGACCTGGTGTCCCCTTCCCACACCCCAGCCTTGTCCTATCTTCTTTCTCCTCTCCCACATCCTTCCAAGCTTAGCATTGGCACTTTACAGGTGATTACCCAGTAAATGACTTTCAGAATCCTGCTTATGAATATTTAGAGCAATGCTCAGATTTTCCCCAGCTGTCATGCTTACTGACTTTGAAATGGTTCCAGTTTTGGGGCCCCATCGGAACACACATGCTGACAAAGGCCCGACACGACCCGATTTGGCCTGTAAAACACTCCTCATCAAGTGCTGCCTGCACACCCGACCTCCGGCTGTGTGGGCTGTCCCTATCTCTCCATACTTCTTATGGGGTTTCTGGCTCCTAATTGCACCTAATCACATTTGAGCTATAAAATTTAGCAGGCACAGAGGGGGGCATGGAGTTGAGGTGATGGGGAAATTTAACTTATTGTTGCCATGACTACAGATGTGCAATGGATCCGTGAATCCGTGATGGATCAATCTCACCAAGGCTGGATGTAATTATTAATAATGGTGACAAATGCTGTTAAGCATCCCATCCCAGGATCCTAGAGTGAGAGGCCTTTCTGTTGCCCACTGCAACCTTGCCGAACTTTCTTCTGAGTATCTCCCAGTTGTGGCCACAAGAGTTCACTGGGCTGGCTTGGCTGGTCCTGAGTCAGGGCTGGCTCTGACTGCTCAATGGCACAGGGAGTCTGGGGGACCCCATCACCTTGGGGACCGTCTGTGATCCAGGAAGGAAATGGTCCCTGAGGGAAACAGGCTCTGTGTTCATGCAGAATAAGAACGGGAAGATGAACGAAGAGACAGGGAAAGTCCGAAGAAGGAAACTGCCTCGGTACTTTGCTGATGCTCTTTCTCTGAGGAAGGCCTGGCATGGAGGAAGGTTGTAACAGGACTAGCAGAAGAATTTGACTTCTTACCCAAAATACAACTTCAAGTGGCGCAGGAAGCAGTATATATCATCAGCATGAGAGAGTCCTTAGCTCTGATGTTTCACAGGTATGGAATGCACTCGTACCCTCCTTCCCCCCACCCCGCCCCCAGAGAGCCCTGCTGGGCAGCAGGTGCCAGTTCCCTTACCCTGAGTCTCATAGGCGCTCTCTGTCTGCGTGCCCTGGTTTTGCCAGGGCAGAGATCCTCTAGCATTCTCCTTGAAGGCGATAAAAGTCTTCTTGGCAGAGTGAGAAGACTTCCTGGCATGTTCAAAGGTGGGAGGAGTGACGGTGAGGAGGGTGTTCGCCTGAGAGACGGCAGCAGCTGGGCTTCTGTCAGAGGGGAGCACAGGGTTCAGTCAACTTCCCAGCAGGGGCCAGGTAGGCACCCATGCACGGCCTGCTGGGAAGTTGGGGTGGTGGTGGCTGCTCTCCAGCCTACAGACTTCTGCCCATCCCTAATGGGGGACTCACAGGGTAGAAGGGACCAGGTGAGGGCAAATGAGGGTGGGGGCAATGCTGGCTGCTGTCATTCTCTTAGGGGAAGTACAGAGTTCAGCAGCCCTTCCTGAGACAGGCCTGGGTCAGGGTTCCTGAGGCAGGAGCAGCAGGGAAGGGGCTGCTGGTGAAGAGGCTGAGAGAGAGAGGAGGAGGCTCTTTCCATCCAGGAGACACCACCAGAAAGCTGTTCTCTTTCAGCATCTGTGGGCGTTCCAGGCAGGTTTTGTGCCACTCCGTGGGTGGGCCTGGGTCTGGGTGGGCCGGGGCAGAGCGGCTGTTCCCAGGATGTACCATTGAAAGGGGCCTCCGGGTCACCTGGCAAGATGCTTGGGTCCTAGCCAGGTGACCGCAGGGCTTAAGAATTAGTGGACACAGTGTCAACTCTTGCCCTGCTCCAGGCCTCAAGACAAGGTCAGGAGTCTCTTCTGGGCTCTGTCCTTCTAGTGCAGTGATGGCGAACCTTTTGAGCTCGGCGTGTCAGCATTTTGAAAAACCCTAACTTAACTCTGGTGCCATGTCACATATAGAAATTTTTTGATATTTGCAACCATAGTAAAACAAAGACTTATATTTTTGATATTTATTTTATATATTTAAATGCCATTTAACAAAGAAAAATCAACCAAAAAAATGAGTCCATGTGTCACCTCTGACACGCGGGTCATAGGTTCCCCATCACTGTACTAGTGGGATAATGTCTGTCCTGCCTCACTCCCCAGGTGCGCACTGAGAGGCAAGGAGATCATGCAAACCCTCCTGAAAGGACCTTGAGAAGTCACAGCCGCCAACAACAGAGGGACTATACTTAGGCAATGGTGGACTGCGCTGGTCATCTCCATCTCTGTGTACATTTGCTTAGCACCCTCTCTGCCATGACTGCCCCAGTCTGGGACATTGCAGGGCCTTCTGGGGCACCTGCCAGGGTTCGCTGTGGCCTCAGCACCCACCAATCTGGGACAAACACTTGCTCCCTGGCCCATCAGCAATGGGGAGAGTACAAAGGGGGACCCACTGGATCCTGGGTCCCAGGGAACATGGGTGGTTCCAGGCCGTCTTAGAGAGGGGAAGGGGCCTGGCATGTGCTTGGGGACCGTTAGGGGTTGGTTGTGGAGTGGGAGAGAGAGCCTTCCTATTTATAAGGGACCCAGGAAACACTTGACTTGAATCTGCTCTCTTTTCACACTCCCTACCTTAACCAACATGAGTGTAATGCCTCTTGCCTAAAGGGGTTTGTGGGGGGTTCATTCTCTCAGCAACCTCGTGTGAGGAAAATCCAGGGCCTGTCTGAGCACCCAAGGTTCAGACCTGGACTCTGGGGACCCAAGCCGCAGAGCACACGGACAGACCTCTCTGATTGCCACGTGTTCCGCAGGACCCCGGGAACAGAAAACCCACTCAGCTAACCTATGGAGAAAGGACAGGACGGTGGGTGTGCTCGGCATAAAGCTGGCCAGGAACCACGATCCTCATCCTGGGCCTGGGCATGCTAAGTTCCCACGTGGGCTCGTGGGCGCAGAACAGAGAACAACAAAGGGCCTGAGCACTCACTGGCGTGCCCTGCGCGCTGACCACTGTTCTCAGTGGCCCCACGAGTTCACACTCATCTATTCTCATCACAGCCCATGAGGCCTAAACCCACTGTCGCCATATTTCAGATAAGAAAACCTAGGCATAGGGATATTAAGTGGTTGCCCTGCGGCCCACAGCTGGCTGAGTGGAGGAGCTGCGATTCAAACCCAGGCTCTGGAGTTCCCGTTCTCAAGCAGAGCCTTCCCCATGGTCACTGCACTGTCGGGCCCTTCGCTGCCACGTTGCTTATTGGCCTGTGAGTGTCAGTAACCTAGGCGATGGGGGGGCCTTTGAAAAGCCACTCCCTCTTACACATTGCCCTGGTGGGGTGATCCTGTCAGATCCATGTGTTTGTGCCTCTGGAATTGTGAAGCATGGAATGGAAGGGCCAGTGAGAGCAGGAGGGGAGGCCAGCCTTGTCAGGCCGAGGGGTACCCCTGTGTAGAGCCCTGGGCCCTCAAATTGTAATCTGTTGCTTCCCAATGCCGCAGCGCTGGGATTTTATTCCTGCCTCTCACCATAACCAACTGGCCTGTGCTTTCTTTGTATCTAGTGTCAACCCATTTTCCAGTGGAGATAAATAATCATGCTTTGGGAAGGGATTGTAGAGGCCCAGACTCAAGGACCAAGACTGTGAATCAGAAGTCTTATGTACCTCCCTCCCCTGCCCTCCCACAGGTTTCCACAGGGCTGAGCACATTTAAGGCATTTTAATCATTGATCCCATAGGTATGTTATTGACTGTCTAGTGCAGCCGTGGGCAAACTACGGCCCGCGGGCTGGATCTGGCCCGTTTGAAATGAATAAAACTATTGAAAAAAAAAGACCGTACCCTTTTATGTAATGATGTTTACTTTGAATTTATATTAGTTCACACAAACACTCCATCCATGCTTTTGTTCCGGCCCTCCGGTCCAGTTTAAGAACCCATTGTGGCCCTCGAGTCAAAAAGTTTGCCCACCTCTGGTCTAGTGTGTGCCAAGTCATGTGGCAGTTTAATGACTACTCATTGAATGACCATTTAGACTTCGGAAGTATGCCCGGGCAAGGAAGATTGCAACTTCCTTTTGGGCATTCATTCATCTACTCACCATGGGCACTGCCCATGGGCCTTTGCTCTCTCTCTCCAGCTCAGACTCAGCCCCCTGCCCTTCCATCTCTGTGGTTCTGGCTGCCAGGGCTCTGTGAGTGACTGAGTGACAGAGGGGAGCAGCACTGGGAGGTCCTTTGTGTGTGATTTCCAAGAGCGCTCACCCTGATTGAACCCCTCCTTCCTCAGGGGACCTGCTCCCTGCATCCCGCTTCTCCTCCCTCCCTCCTCATCTTTGGAAAGCTAATGGCTCCGGAAGCATCCCCGAGCATGGATTTCCACCTGATTTACCCCAAAAGAAAACTATTACCTTTCATTAAGATTAGGCGGGGTGTGCGATGGATAAATCACCTGGAGTTCTATTGGGAAAAAGAAGAGAAAGACAATATTGGAAAAAAAGAAACCATCTTTCTTTCTGTTTAAAAATGTGTTGCTAAGTGTGTGACGCCGGGGTTGGGACAGAGGGACCCCAATTTATGTTTTATTTTATTTTTACTTTTCCTATTTTGTCTTTACTGTCTCTCTAAATGGTTTCCTTTAGAAATTCTGGGGTTGAAATTTTATATGATCAAAGAAAACTCAATAAAGTAATTTTCATGAAACCACGGTTTTGGAAATTCAGGTTTGCTGTGTTAATCTTTTGGGTTATCACAGGGGCTCCCTCTGTCAGGGGATGGAGGATAACTGTGCAGAAAAGGTGACTGAGGTTCAGAGAATATAAATATTGTAAACATTATTTTTTGACTTTGAAGAACCTATTTTTCATTTAACCACCTGTTTGCCTTGAATGCTATAACATCAAGAATTTCATGTACAATTGGGATAAAATATGGCACCAATTCTAGTAACACAGCATGGTACAGTGGAAACAGTAAAGAAATGATAATCAGAAAATTTGAACTTGAAACTTACATGTTCAATGCTTATACTTACTCACAGTTTATCCATGCGACAGGACATTGTTGAGGAATATTACTTGGTGATTAAAATGATGTCTCCAAAAGTTAAGCAACAGAGGCAAATATTGAAGTCACAATGCTAAGTTACAAAAGTAAAATATAAACCTGTATATATAGTATGTTTAAAATAGGAAAAATAAAAAACAAAACAAAACCAAGAACCACAACCACTCGATATGCAAAAACTAAGGGTGAGAGGGACAGAATAGAAATCACTAAAATGTAAATCAGTTTTATTTGTATTTTGATGTTGGTAGGTTGGGTGATGTTTTTCCACTTTTCAAATTTTCCATTAAAATAAAAAAATAGATTTTATTTCTCTTTATGTCACTGTCTGTTCTAAAATTAAAGTATGCGCACAATTTACTAAAAAGCATAAACAAAGGATGAAAGGAGAAAGGAAAGGAGAGAAGAAAAGGAGGTGATCTGAAGAGAAAGAAGAGAAGGCTTGGGAGCCTGTCCTGGCTCTTCTAATTATTCCCCATGACCTTGGGATGTTCCACTACCTTTCGCTAACTCCAGGTTCCTTGTTTGTGAAGTGAGGGGTAACGAATGGCTGGGAGAATGAAAGGAGACAGAGGTTGTGAAATGCACTGTGTTGGATTGTGCTCCCGACCTTCTTTAGGGCAAGAAAACACAGAGAAGATGGTGTTTGTACAGGAGCAGAGTGGAGGCTGGGGGTAACTGGTCGTGGGGCTCAGCATCTTCCTCCACAACAAATTGTATGGTGTGGGAGAGCTTTCACTGCACCCTCAGATATGTCCTTTCATTTAAGTAGCAGTGTTCTTTCTTCACACTGTAGAGAAAGGTACGTTTACACGTAGAGAAACTGAACCTCAGGGAATGTAATGACATACATGCCAGGGTCAAAGGCCCTATCATGTGCTTCCTCTTCTGACTCTGACCCCACAGTGTTTATGCACATTTAAAAAAAAAATATATATATTATTGATTTTTTACAGAGAGGAAGGGAGAGGGATAGAGAGTTAGGAACATTGATCAGCTGCCTTCTGCACACCTGCTACTGGGGATGTGCCCGCAACCAAGGTACATGCCCTTGACCGGAATCGAACCTGGGACCCTTGAGTCCGCAGGCCGACGCTCTATCCACTGAGCCAAATGGGGAGCAACATTTTACAAAAACTATTTGCAACATTCTGGGGAGATCAGTCATATATGGTTATTGATTACTCAGTGGTAATTGATGCTACATTTATATTCAAGTTGCTCATCTAATTTTGTCTTTTCCCATAAACCATGGGGAAAACCATCCCTGTAAAGAAGAGGTGGGGGCAGTAGTTAGTCTGACACTACCCTGATTTGTCCAGTGCAGTTGGAATCTCTGAAATTTACCTGCCTATAGGTAGTTGGGTGGCGGGCACAGATTCCTCCCACACACTCGTTCATTTCATTTTTTCTTGTCTGTTTGTTATATCCATTTCACAAAGTGGGCAAATGTGGCCAGGGGAGGAGTGTAAATGACCCTTCACAAGTCAATGGTAGGAGAGTATAAAATATAGTAATAATAATCCTATCTAATAAAAGAGAAAGATGGTAATTAGCGTACGACCGCTACCCTTCCCATTGGCTAATCAGGGAGATAAGCAAATTAACTGCCAGCCAAGATGGCGGCCGGTAGCCGGGCAGCTGATGTGAACAGGGAGGCTTGCTTGCTTCAGTGACGGAGGACTCCAATGTTCCCCGCCTGACTTGCCGGCCTCTCAGCTGCAACTCTAAGCAACTATGTTGCAAATATAGAAGCTAAAAAAACCCCAGAAACCTGCTTTACTCAGCCGGGCTTCAGCCAGCCGGACCGCAACATTGTATCAAATACAGACGGTAAACAAAGGCCAGAAACCTGTTTTCAGCAGCCGAGGCCTCAGAGCTAAAGCTGGGCCAGAATAAAAAAAGAAAAAGAAAAAAAGGAGCAGTTGGGAGCTTTAGTCACCCATCAGCCTGAAAACGGCCCTCAGCCCCTCAGCCAGACTGGCCAGGCACCCCAGTGGGGACTCCCACCCTGATCCAGGACACCCTTCAGGGCAAACCAGCCGGCCCCCACCCGTGCACCAAGCCTCTATTCTATATAGTAAAAGGGTAATATGCCTCCCGGCACCAGGATCAGAGTGACAGGGGGCAGCGCCCCAACCCCCTGTTCGGCCCTGCTCTGTGGGTGATAGAGGGCGGTGCCCCAACCCCCCCCCCCCCCACGGGCCCTGCTCTGTGTGTGACGGGGTAGAGCCATAACCTCCCCATCGGCCCTGCCCTGAGTGTGAGAGTGGCGGCACCCCAACCCCCTGATCGGCCCTGCTCTGTGGGTGATAGAGGGCGGCGCCTCAACCCCCTGATCGGCCCTGCTCTGTGCGTGACAGGGGGAGCTCCCCAACCCCCTGATCAACCCTGCTTTGTGTGTGACAGGGTACGGAGCCCCAACCCCCCTGATGGGCCCTGCTCTGTGCATGACAGGGGGCAGCGCCCCACCCCCCTGATCCGCCCTGCTCTGTGTGTGACAGGGGGCAGTGCCCCAACTCCCCTATTGGCCCTACTCTGTGCGTGACATGGGGGAGCTCCCCAATCCCCTGATCAACCCTGCTCTGTGTGTGACAGGGGGTGGCGCCGCAACTTCCCTATCGACCCTGCCTTGAGTGTGACAGGGGGCGGTGCCCCAACCCCCCAATTGGCCGTACCCTGAGTGTGACTAGGGGTGGCATCGCAACCTCCAGATCCGCCCTGCTCTGTGCATGACAGGGGGCGGCGCCCCAACTCCCCAATCGGCCCTGCTCTGAGCCTGACCAGGGGCTGCACCTAGGGATTGGGCCTGCCCTCTGCCACCCGGGAGCAGGCCTAAGCCAGCAGGTCGTTATCTCCTGAGGGGTCCCAGACTGTGAGAGGGCACAGGCCAGGCTGAGGGACCCCCTCTCCCCCCTGAGTGCACAAATTTTTGTGCACCGGGCCTCTAGTAATAATAATAAAATAATAAATGGCTTACAATTAAAGAGGCTTCAAATGCTATGTGCTTGGCATAGCTCATAATGTTTTACATAATTTAACTCCTTTCATTCTCACAAACATCCCGTAAGGTAGGTCAATTGTTTTTCCTAATTATAGTTAAGAAAACCAAAACACAGAGAGGTTAAGTGACTTGCCCAACCTGTGCAATGAACAAGTGGAAGAGAGTTGGCATTAGAACCTGGATAGTAAAGCTCCCGAGAGAGGAAGAAAACAGCTCTTTGTGACAGGCTTATTAATATCTGTCACCAAATGACAAATAAATGACACTTGTCCTCCTCCCCTCGCACCTGCTCCTTTGGCTAGTTGATCATGGCACTCTTTCCTGCTGAATCTAAATGGAGACTCAGAATCCTTCTTAACATAGTGCTCCACCATGTTAAACCTCAAGTAACTAATCCATCAGCATGAGAGATGGAAGCCCATTTGTCATCTCTAGGGCTCATTTTATAGGCTCTAATTAATTCACAAAGTTGTTTTAAAAATAAACGTGTGTGTGTATACATATGCTTGACTTTATGAAATGAATGAAATTGAACTTGATTCAATTTGCATTTACTGAACATCTGCTATATGGATCAGGAAGGCACTCTTGTTATGCACTGAGGCTTAAAACAAAGGATAAACTAAGTTATGTCTTAAAGAGGACACTATTCCACATAAATTTTGATGTAAATCCTTTTGAAAAGTTAAGAATCTTCTTGTAAACCTCTTGTACAGAGTTTTCATAGATCAAGACATTCTGCCATGTGCCTTTAAAGGCATTTTAGCATTCCCCTACATTGTTTTAGGTGCCTCTCTCATTTTTTTTTTTTTAAGCAAGGCATTTATTTTCATTTTTCTTTCTTTCTTTAAGTTGAATTTATTGGGGTGACATTGGTTTGCAAAACCACACAGGTTTCAAGTGTACAACTCAGTAAAACATCATCTGCACACTGCATCGTGTGCCCATCGCCCCAGGCTTCACACACAGTGTGGTGCGTTACAGCATTGTATTTGTTCTACTCCAGTGAGTATTTATTTACAAAGCTCCAGTGCACGGAGGAGACTTATAAAGAATGCTTGACTCATACTGTGCAAAAGAAAGGGCTTGAATGCTATTTTTCAGTATTAGAACTATACTTACTTGGTACTTGAATAGCAGGGATATTAGGATTCTGAGAAGGAGCTTAATGGTAGAGGCACACAGAAAAAAGGGCTTCCCAACAATAGAGAAATTATCTCTTCCATGTCCCAACTAAGCATCCATGAGGGTAGTAGGAACCAAGGTTAATACATCTGATTGGATCAAGAGGGACATAAAGGTGAAATGCCTGTTGGCTGCTGAGAACACCCGGTCTTTAGGATATAGGTTGTATATAATCAGATGGAGATTTAAAATTCAAGCTGCTTGAGATGCTTGTAGTTGGTAACAGAACTGGATCCAGAAAAATAGTTAGTTCTACTTTTAGGTCAACATTAAGATGCTGCACATGACCTGGATTTTTAAACTTCCCGTACCTAGTTGGATATGGCCATGCAGTCATGATATCAAGGGAAGACACCATGTGGGCTATGGGTGAATGCACATCAACCACTCCTAACAAAAGCATGAGGAGACCACTGCCAAATAACAAAACCCAACTTAAGCAAAAGTTGCCAATTGCAGAAACAGCATTGGAGAAATGTCGGCCCTAGTATGAGAGAAATAACTCCAAAGTTAAATACTCACCAGCAGGGTAAGATGATACCTTCCCAGGGCCCAATAGGCACCCTAGGAAGCACACTAGTGTCTGTTGACTTAGCAACAGGTTGTGGGAATGCATTCTAGGAAATAATTAGAGGTCATTGATAAAATTAGGCTATCAAAGTGCTGTTTAAAAAAGTAGCAAAAAGTCAGAAGCAATGAATAATCAATAATAGGGGATAAATTAAAAATATTATGGTTTGCCCTGATTGGTGTGGCTCATTTGGTTGGAGCGTTGTCCCGAAGGATCACAGGTTCAATTCCGGCCAGGGCACATACCCAGGTTGTGGGTTCAATCCCCAGTCAGGGCACATGCGGGGAAACAGATTGATGTTTCACTCATATTAATGTTTCTCTTTCTCTCCCTCTTCCTTCTTCTCTCTCTAAAGATCAATAAAATATTTTTTAAAAAGTATGGTTTATATTATACAGTTGTATTATATAATACAATGCAATGAGGCAATTACAACAATTTTTAGATAATAAATGAAATGATATTCATATAAGTATGCAATATTTATTTATAATTATAAGTATATTAAAAATGTACCTTAAAAGGCAGGTTACAAACACTATATAAAGTCTGGGGAGGATATAACCAAAGTGTGAAAGAAATGATCATCTCTGGATGGTAGAGATCTTTGCTATTTTTTGCTTATATATAATTTCTCAAACATCCACAATGAACATGTATTACTTGAGCAATAAGGAAAAAATAAGGTAAAAATCATGTTTTTTTTTTTTTTTATGAACAGGTGCTTTACATTCATCAAGTCTCCCTGCCTGCTCTGTTGACATGGTGCTTTGGGGCATGGCTAGTGAAGCTGTGAATAGAACTTAGTAATGAGTCTTCCTACCTGTTCATTCCATGGGTAGGTTGATAATTTGAACTTTGGCTAGATTTCAAATTTCTTCTTTTTTTCCCTGAGCACTTTGGGAGACCCTCCTCCAGATACTCACCCTTTTCTTGATAGCCTTCTTCATGCCAATAATTTTTTTCCTTCTGTAGATGCTTTTTCCCCTTCAGAGACTCCTGTTCATTCAGATCCTTCTTTCCTTTCTGATGCTTTTCCTTCTCCAGATAGTCATCTTCCTGTGGATGCTTTTCCTTCTCCAGATGCTCATTCTTCTCCAGATACTCATTCTCTTCCAGATACTCATTTTCTTCAAGAAATGGAGAGTCTTCCTTTGAACTCTTCTCCTCTCCCTTGGTATACTCTTCCTCTGAAGAGAAGATCTGTGTGGGTTGTTGGAAAGTGGTGGGAAGGAGAGGTGATGACTCTCCTGATGACTGGCTACTTTTAGTAGACATGCTGGGAGGCAGTAAGCAGATGAAACCCTTCAGCAGCAGGTGAAGTCACTTCATCCTGGTAACCAACAAAGGAATAAAAGTTCATTAGTTAGTAATTGACTGCTGCATGCGATTAAAATACTCATTTCAGTCAGTATCCTTGGGTGACCCTTTGAGTATGTAGATCAATACATGACCCATGAAAAGGCACAAAAGGAGGGAACAGGAGATTTACCCTCAAGAACATAGTGGAGAGAGTACACCTGAAGGCAACACCTTTGAAATTGTGGCACAATGTGAAGGAAATGAAAAGGGCTGGAAAATGAAGACATGATCAGTGGTGCTATTATTGGAGAAAACTTTTACTTATAAAAAAATATTTATTGCCACAGTAAGCAATACAGAAACTGTCTTCCAGGAGATTGAAATCCAGGGAGGAAAATAGTCATGCAAACAGATTTCTATATAAAAAGTGATGAACACAATGGAAGAGGTACAGACAGGATGGTATAGATGTCCTGTTTGGTCCTTGTTCAGCGAAGGCCTCTGCAGGTGGAGGTCTGTGCAGCACATAATCATGGCTGCCACACCCACGGCCACCTCTGCTGGAAGGACCACCAGCACTTTACTAATGTTTGACTCCCCAGCTTCAACGCAACTGTGAGCACCTGCCGGAAGCCGGTCCATCCTTGCTGCTTGACACAGTCGCTGCAGGAAAGAAACATCTGCACAGCATATGTTTCAAGGGACCTGGCGTATATAGCATACTGTTCTTAATATGTTTGCTCCCCTTAGCGCTGTGTGTTTTAACCAAGGTCACCTCTCCGAGAAAGGTTGTTTCCCCAGGTAGGAATTTTTCCCTGAAGTCAGGGAGGGGATGCCTCTCCTAGAAAGGTTGTTTCCCCAGGTAGGAATTTTTCCCTGAAGTCAGGGAGGGGATGAAACTCCTTAACTAAGTGCCAGGCGGGTAGTTAATCACTACAAACAATCATGCTTAAGCTACATAATCTTTACTCCCTGGAATGGAGATAAGAAACACCCTAACCTTTGTAATAGAAATTGACAGGATTAAAATCAACTGGTATAAATACGGATGTAACAAGACAATAAACAGCAGAACTTCACTGGAGATCCAGACCAGAACTTGGCTAGAGATCCTGGCTAGGCTGCTGATCAACTGAACACTGTCTCCGTGTCCTTCCTTCTTCGCTGACTCCATCCACGCCTTTGGGGACCCCTGGACCTGCTGGGGTTGGATTCCGGCATCTGGCGCCCGAACAGGGTTCCCTTAGGTAAGTCCCCCCGTACTTGGGACGGATAGGACTGCACTGTAGGGTGCTGCAGACCCCATAGAGAATAAGTAGGGTAAGCGGGTAGTTAGTACAGAACTTAGATTGACAAGATGGGTCATACTGAGTCTAAAGAAAAAAGACTCTGTATTAATCTTTTAACGCATATGCTTGCTAGCAGAGGAGTTAAGGTTACTCCCAGTCAGACAGAAAGTTTTATAGAAGACGTATGTGAATGGCTTCCTGAGGATGGAACTGTTAATTTAGAAACTTGGACTAAAGTAGGAGAGCAATTAAAGAACTATTACAGCTACCATGGATCTGAGAAGGTCCCGGCAGTTACCTTTTCTCTCTGGAATTCAATTTGTGAAACCTTAGCACCAGAGGCAAAAACGGTTGAACTTTCTCAAAATTTAAATAGTCCCTCGGCTCCACCCAGAGAGGATACATCATCATTGTCTCCAGCTCAATCTAAAAGCAATTTAGCTATGCCTAGTGATCGGGAGGAGAATAAATATCATAAACATGACCATTGGTCCTTTCCAGTCAGTAGAGAGGAGAATGGCCCTCCCATTCAAAACAGGCTCCCCAAATTAGAAAGGAAGCCTAAACCAGGTCCTGTGGCTCCTATGAGCTCCATGTCTAAATTTCAAAGGGCCATAAGAGAAGCTGAAGCTAATGGAGATTTTGAATTCTCACTCTGCTTCCCAGTTACATATGAGAATGAGTCTGGTGGGAATAGAAACCCCACCTTGGAGCCTATACCTTACAAAGTACTTAAAGAATTAAAATTGGCCTGCTCTGAATATGGACCTCTAGCTCCTTACACACAAACCTTGGTAGAAACCCTAGCCAGTAAATGGATGAATCCTTATGATTGGTCACAGGTTTGTAAAGCCTGTCTCTCAGGAGGCGATTACTTATTATGGAAAACTGAATATGAAGATCTTGCTAAGAAAGCTGTAGCCACTAGCGAAAAAACCAGAAAAGGAATAACCCTAGACATGATATTAGGAGAAGGTGATTTTAACACGGCTGAGGAGCAAATGAATATGCCCACAGAGGCACTTACCAAAGTAACCAGTTGTGCAGTAAGTGCCTGGAAATCCCTACCTTATACAGCAGGAGAAACAACCACCCTTACAGAGGTTAAACAGAAGGTCGAGGAACCATATCAGGATTTCCTTTCTCGCCTCATACAGGCAGTCAAGAGAGTAATCAATAACAAAGAGGCAGCCGATATCCTAATCAAACAACTGGCTTTTGAAAATGCTAATAATACCTGTCAGGCTTTATTAAGGCCGATTCGCAGAACAGGAACTATAAATGATTTTATAAAACAGTGTGCTGATGTAAGTCCAGCATTTATACAGGGTGTAGCTATAGCTGCAGCTCTCAAAGGAGAGACATACCCTCAATATGTACAGGGTATAGGACAAGCCAGCAATAATACAGGTAATAAAAGAAATATGAACTGCTACTCTTGTGGCTTATCTGGGCACTTTAGCAGAGAATGCCCAAATAAAAATAATAATACTCAGGCCAGATGGCAAGCTCCTCGACAGCCTGGAAATACATTAGGGAATAATATTAATCCTCCAAAAACCGTTTGTCCCCGATGTCAGAAAGGATTCCATTGGGCAAAGGAATGTAGATCAAAATACCATAAAAATGGTCGGCCTTTAAACTCTACAAATAGCTCCCAAGGAGGTTATATCCCATCACCTCAATCGGGAAACTTGAGAAGGGGCCAGCCCCAGGCCCCTGCAATAATAGGGGCATCAACCCTCAACCCCTTTGCAAATTTCAATCAGTCAGTGACCTCTTCAGGGCAACCCCAGGCAGTGCAGGATTGGACCTCCACTCAACCACCCATGCAGTACTAACCCCAGACTCGCCAGTAGCAGCCATTCCTACAGGAGTGTCTGGGCCGCTGCCTGAGGGAACCATAGGTTTAATATTAGGACGGAGCTCCACCTCGTTACAGGGGATCTTAGTCATCCCAGGAGTTGTTGATGCAGACTACACAGGAGAAATACAGATTTTACTTTCCCCACCCACCACAACTATACAGATTCAGCCCAACCAGAGAATTGCCCAATTACTCCTGTTACCAATACATAAAATAGGGACAGCTGTTACCCAGGAAGCTAGAGGGGCCGGAGGCTTTGGATCTAGTGATGCAGCATTTTGGATACAAGAAATCCATGCTACTAGACCTACAAAAATTTTACAAATTCAGGGAAAACCAATTGAAGGTCTATTGGATACAGGAGCAGATGTTTCCTGCATAGCAGGGAAGGATTGGCCCTCTTCATGGCCCACGCACACCACCTCCACTTCCCTAGTAGGACTAGGCAAGGCATCTAATGTAAAAAAGAGTTCTCAGATTCTAACTTGGACTGATGAAGATCAACATTCAGGAACATTCTGTCCCTATGTAATTACGACTATCCCCTTTACATTATGGGGAAGAGATATCTTGTCTCAAATGGGAGTTGTGTTATATAGCCCCAGTGATAGAGTAACATCACAGATGCTAGACATGAGATTTAATCCAGGAAAGGGATTAGGAAAGGAAAGTAATACCTCACACTCCTCGACAGGATCTGTAATTGGGGCCATTGCCCTTAGGACTGCTGATCCCATAGTCTGGAAATCGTCACAACCAGTATGGGTTGAGCAATGGCCCTTAACATCTGAGAAAATATCAGCAGCCCGACAATTAATTGATCAGCAATTAGCAGAGGGACATATAGAGCCATCAAATAGTCCCTGGAACACACCCATATTTGTAATAAGAAAGAAATCAGGCAAGTGGAGACTTTTGCAAGATCTAAGAGCCATAAATGCCACCATGGAAGATATGGGCTCCTTACAACCTGGATTGCCCTCCCCTGTGGCAATTCCACAGGAGTATTGTGTTGTTGTTATTGACTTACAGGATTGTTTTTTCACTATACCTCTTCACCCAGCTGATTGTCAAAGATTCGCATTCAGCATACCATCAGAAAACTTTAAACAGCCTTATCAGAGATACCAATGGAAGGTTCTCCCACAAGGGATGAAAAATAGTCCTACATTATGTCAAAAGTTTGTAGATCAGGTATTGCAAGTTATTAGAAAGAAATTTTCAGATCTATATCTTATTCATTATATGGATGATATTTTACTAGCTCATAAAGATCGGGCTACTTTACAGGAAATTCTTACTCAGACCATCCTTGCTTTAGAAGAACATGGTCTAAAAATAGCCCCAGAAAAGATTCAGACTGAACCTTCTTTTTCATACTTAGGCAGAATATTACATACCTCTACTATCACCCATCAGCCTCTACAATTAAGAAAAGATCATTTAAACACATTGAATGATTATCAGAAACTATTAGGTGATATCAACTGGGTCAGGCCATATCTAAAAATAACCACTCTTGACTTAAAACCTCTATTTGACATTTTAAAGGGAGATTCTAACCCTAAGTCTCCCCGACAATTAACTGTTGAAGGAGAAAAGGCTATAGCAAAAATAGAACAGGCCATCAATAAACAGCAACTACAGTATCTAGATTATTCCAAATCTTGGGCCTTAATTATTCTAGCCACTAAATATACTCCTACAGGATGCTTGTGGCAGGAAGGACCATTAGAATGGATACATTTACCTGTCACTCCTAGGAAGATTGTACCACCCTATTCCTCCCTAGTGGCCACTCTCATTATTAAAGGTAGACG